AGTAGCGTTTTGCACAAACCACATTGGTATATTTGAGATTGGAGTTATCTTGAGATGGTAAAAGTCTCCAGGACCATAAATGAAGACACCAAGAGAGCCATCACTTTAATCATGTCCAACTATCTGTTTAGTAAATCTGTATCGCCTTCCTTTAAATTAAACTCCAGTGCTGGTTGTCTCTCAGTCGACAGGAATGACTGGAATTGCACCTCGAGGGTAACCAATACCTCACCGTGTCAGCCTTCAGCCAATGATAACCTCAAAGCAGCCGGTTAAATACTTCAGCTTGTGTATGCATGCCAATCAGTTGCTACACCACTGCTCCAGTTAATAATTTCTACAGTAGACATGAAGAAGTCATAGCGAAACTCTCCAAGATGCGAACACTGTCATTGTGCTTTCGAGGTCTTCCTTGGTGAACCTCGTAATGCTTGACCCCTGCTTTGCTGTTTAATCACTCTTTTATTTGCGCCGGCCACCTTGAGAAGCCGAGCCATCCTTTGTCGGACCTCTTTGACCTAGCCTCTCCTATTTCCGCACAAAGACTCTCTAATGCCAGGTAGCTGGTGCTGGCATTCCTGGTGCATTCCAATATGTGGAAGTTGCTGGGATAGGGATGAAAAATGCCAGAAACAAAGGCTTACTCTCATTCACAGGGTTTAGAGTTCTGTGGGAAAGTCCAGGCCGGACAGAGGTTGGATGGCAAAGGAATGCATGGCTCTCACAGTCTCTGTGACACAAACCTAAAGACACATTGACAAAGAAGAGGTCTTCTTACACGGAGGAGTCTGCAGACATGAAAGGGGACGATGGGACTTGTGATAACAGCGCTGCATGCTTCCTTTCTCATGATTGCACATGGCAGTTGGGTTGTCCATTTAGCTACTTGCATTAAATTGTGTGGGAGTGAGTTTGGTCTGAACCTGCACAGATTTCCCTGCAGCAGGAATGAAAGAATGACATGTTACTAGGCGTGGGCCCCAAAAATTTATGGTTTGTGGACGTGTGAATCAAAGATACTTATTTAGTTTCTGGTTAAAACCATATTTATGTGTAGGTAGAGCTGCATTCAAGATTAGAAAACCATGTGAGAAAAACACACCAACGGTACTTGTAAAAACGAAAGAAAACATGTTTATTGTGTAACTAGGCTTAAGGGTAGAGATGTAAAATATGGATGTTGTGGTTAAAGTTTTTTCAGACTTCGAAAGTTGCCTTAAAATCTTCTGCTGTGTTCTTTGATCCTCTTTCAACTAAAGTTTAATTTCCACTTTGCTACCAAACACAGATTACCAGCTGACGTACGTCAAGGTCATTGATTGATGAAACAGAGATTTCATCCTCAAAATTATGCAGAACTGTGAATTATTATCCATTTTTAAAATGTTTTGTGTTTTAAACACTTGGTTTTACATTGGCTCTTGAGGATCTTCATCCATTTAGTCCCAATCTTTAACTTCCTGGCTGACATCTTGAGACGTTGCTTCAATAATGTTCTTTTGTCATGTTGCCATATGTTTTATGAAGTGCCCAAGAGTCCCTCCTGCAGTAAAAACACCAACTAAACCTAATACTCCCAACTCTGTACCACACAAATATATCCACCAAATTGAACAGTGGTCACTTCCTGAGTGTGTTTAGCAACTGTAATCTGGATGTTTTGTGTTGCTTTTGGATAAATGGCTTCTTTCTCGCTGAGCAGCCTTTCAGACAATGTCAGTACAGGGCTTGTTTTACTGTGGATATTGACATTCTCAATGCAAAAACATAAGATCTTACCAAGTATATTTGGTCTAATTTCTTGTGCAAATATCTTAATACTTGTAACATGTAACACTTGTAGCATGGGGAAAATGTCTTGTTACAAGTGAAACAACATGATTAGGTAATAAATCCTCCTAAACAGGTTGGAGTACCGAGTTAACGTTCATAGAAACATGTTTACCAGAAGTTTGGATGAAAACCAACTTCCATCAAATTTACCAAGAAAAACAATCCTGCTAAACAGGAAGTTTTCAGTCTAAATGCAAAGGAGTGTTTATTCCTGCTGTTGAACCGTTTCAGACGTGCCCTAAAGCTTTCCTTTTGCCTGCGAAACAATACCTGTCTTAGCATAGGAATGACAGCTGACAGTTTTTACAGAGTCTGAAAAAGGCTTCCTTTTTCAAACTGAGATTAAATCACACCCAAAACAATCAAAGCTGTTTATTCTCTGTGCTGCAGCCGTGGCTATATATTATTCTCGGAGTCTATATGTAGTGTGCGGTTGTGGGGCGTTGGAAATGGAGTATGTGGGGAAATGAGAGGAGATCTGCTGCAGCCCACAGGCCCCTTCTCATCGTCTGATGTGGCTTCATGACTTCCCAGGAAATGCAAGGCCTTCTGGGATACCGCTTAAGTAGTCTCTTGAGTTTTGCGAGCATGTTCCTGCATCTTCGAGCATTTGAGTATCCTCTCAACGTTGCTCTTAAACTCTTACCTTTGATGTGTGAGAGTGCAGTTCACTTTCCAGGGAAAGAGGAAGCGTTGCTGCAAATCAAAGCTCAAACCGGGTCATATAGGTGACTTTTTTTGAGGTTGTTGGTTGCACATCTTTCAAGTGCAGGGAGCTTCAAATAGAAAAACATGCTCAAAGTTTTCCCATGAGGTCTTATCTGAGGTATTCATGCAAGGTTCTGGCATGTATTAACAACTGCAAAGTGATGCACACCTAATATTTTTAAATGATAATAGTGAGATTAGATGAAGAGAAAAGTTCCCAAGTCTTTAAGATTAATTTCTTAAAGCCCTTCTGCTTTGTGTTAAGTGAAAGGGGCTGCTGAGGGGGCCCAGCCTCTCTCATCTGCAGCCTGTTATAGCGTAGCGGGAGGATGACATCATATTGGTCTCGCAGCGGCGACTGGTAATTGGCCCGCTCTCCTCCTCCAGCAGCACGGGCCAAACAGAACACACAAGTGGAGCCAGGCAATGCAAGTCAGATGCAGCGGGTTTTTCCAGAGTGGCTGACAGGGCCTCAGTGCAGACCCAGAGCCAAGAGGCCTCGAAGAGGGGTCCACCGGTCCAACTGTAAATGTCAGAAAATGAATGAAGGCCCTCAACCCCAGATGAAATCTGATATTGTGCGCCCCAGGCTAGCCCGTTTGATCCGATGCACAATCCACCGTTCAACTCGTCCGGATAACTGCGCTATTCTCCGTGATATGACATTGCAAAAGCGTTTTCATGTGGAAGGCCTGTGAGAGCCAACTTCAATGAACTTCTCGGCCCACACAGTGTTCCATTACTGCGGGGCTGAGCGACTACTCCTCTGGGGCTGCAGAGGAGCAACCGCCAGCGACTCTTTGTCATGCTGAAACCAGTGTGCGATTTCTCAGCTTGCAATGCAGTTTTGCTCCAAGGTGTGATCCTGAAAGTCTCGGCATAAGTGGGATAGATGAGCGTATGAAGCTGAAGCTGGTTCAGATCTTGTTGACAATGGTACCATTGAACTTTTTGACAATTGTGTGTGGTTATATGTTTAGGGTCAACTTCCACTTGAAAGGTAAACCTCTCCCCTTGTTTCGTCTAATGTAACATCTTTAACTCCAGCTCCGCTTAGTCTGCTTTAATCTAACTCCAGTTAGTCTGATTCATTTGAGGAGGTGTGAATGTGTAATCAAACACTGATGCAGACCAAAAAAGGGGAACTCTAGTCCTCCTAATAACCTAGGTCTCGGTTCAATTAAAGTGAACTCTATTGTGGTTCAAATGCATAAGTGATTGCCAAGCAGACCGGACACTCCTCCCAAAGCAGGGACTGAACTATGGCACCGGGCATTCTGAGTAAATACAACCAAAACAAACATGCATGTCTAGCTGTAGCGGGAGACATTACTCTTATTCTTTTCCCCCCAAGACAAAAAACAAACTATACAACCACTAAGATCTGACGCAACTCCATTTTTGTTTACGTTCCGTGAAGAATGAAGTTGCCTTCTTCAGAGATTTTGTTTCCTTCGGTTGTTCTTAGTACAGTGCCACCACAGGCGAGGAGGGTAACAGGTTTTTCAGGGGTTTGGTTTTGACTGGACAATATTGCTGAAAAACGTGTCACGATATAAGCGTTTCATTTAGTTTATATCGATAACTATCTATTAGTTACCTGTTTTAAATATCTAAAATAATACAAACTGGAGACATGAGCTTCCCTTTTTCATCTACACTTTCCACTCCATGCACTTAATTTTTTATTTTTAAGCAGTTGCAAGTCACAGTAATGAAACCTTAAACTGCTGGTGCGCAAGTTACTCAACAGGTTGTTGCTGGGTAACCAATCAGTGAGTGAGTTGCTACCGTGTTTCCCCGAAAGTAAGACGGTGTCTTACTTTCTTTTTATCCCCAAAAGCCCCACTATGTCTTACTTTCGGGGTATGTCTTATATTGGAAAAAAATTGTCAAATGAACGTATGGAGAGGGGGACGGCGCAGGCGTGGGCAGGAGGCGGCGCTCATTTGGATCAGACGGAGGCGGCAGACGCGGCGACGTATGGAGAGGGGGACAGTGTGGACGTGGGCAGGAGGCGGCGCGCAGCTAGATGAGAGGTGTTTCCCCGAAAAGTAAGACGTATGTCTTACTTTCGGGGTACGGCTTATATTAGCAGACCCCCCTGAAACCCCTGATACGTCTTACAATCGGGGGTGTCTTACTATCGGGGAAACACGGTAGGTAACCGAAGAGTGAGTGAATGAGTTACAGTTGATGCCGCCTACTCTGCTTAGCTTTCTGTGAAAGGTTGAGCAGCCTTTCCTCTGCCTACATCCCCCAGAATGCTGTGTGGTTCTGGATTTGAGTTCAGTGAAATTAATGAATATTCTACGTTCTTAACCCTATATTCTGTCACAGTATATATTGTTGTTGATTTCTTGTCCAGCCCTTGGTTTGGTTTGTTTGATTCAGTGCAATGTGAACGCGAACCACAGCAGCTGAAAATGTAACAATGTTGTAATCTGGTCCCCAGTTGAATCAAGTCTACCGGACCATCATCCCTGAATGCATCCAACAAGCCTGAATCAGATGGATGTTAACTCTTCAGCGTACCATCAAGGTTTGCTAACGTCATATTTTTTTACTTCAGCAGTGTTGAAGAAGGCCTGCATCTATGACATGAGGACAATGGGCCGTTGAAACAATGTTTATGGATTTAATGGATAATAAATAGCTGTTGGCACATCCGTAACCAGAATATTTCTTGACTTAAACCATGTTTAATTAATTACAGGAAGATAAGATACTGAAAAACTGAGATTAAAAGGAGGTGAATACAAACACAGACCCTATCTGCTTACTTCGACGTCAAATTCTTGCACTACTTTGTGTTGGTTTATCTCGTATAATCCAAATAAATTGCATGGAAATGTTCTGTTTTTGCATAGCAAATAGCAAAAAAGCTCAAGAGAACTGAATAATTTTGTAAGTATTTGCATATAAAAGGCAATAAAAAAAAAGCAATTTCATTACAAAAATGGCAAAGATAAACCTAATTGGTTTCAGTGGGTCTGTAATACCCCATGGCCAGACCCTCACACATCATACGAGACATGGCAGGGCTGTTTGATACGCCCGCTCTAATAAAGCGCAGTCGTTATCTCTTATAGAGCTTGCTCAGTCATGCCACCATGTTTCCTGCTATGCAAAGATTGTACACAAAACAGAGTCCGCTGATCTTCTGATTACATAGCCAGAACATCTTTTTTCCCTTCATTGTTGTTGCAGCCAGTGTGGGAAAGCATGCATTCTGGCTTTGTGGGAAGAGGGTGCAGCGCTCTGCATGCTGGCACGTGCCCGTCCGCCCGTCTGTTGTCCATTGCTGTTTACCCACATGAGCGACAGAGAAGTGAACGTCAGTTGTGAAATGTCTCATGGTTGTCAAACGTCGATTCTGTAGGTGGTGAGAACATCAGAGTTCCTGTCGGGCCCAAGATGCAACTCAGCATCTGTGGGTAGAAACGACTGACTGAGCAAGAAACAGAAAAAAAAAAAAAAAAAAAAAAAAAAAAAAAAAAAGAGAAACACGTCAGACGAGCCACTCTATTGGAGGAATGAGTCTTTGAAAGCTTTCGCTCTCAGTTCTCTGTCAGGTCCTGCACCGAGTTGTGAAGTTATGTACTGCAGTAACTTTGTGTAGGTGGTGTTGTGATTGATGTCATGATGAGGCAAAAAGATTATTTGAAGGTAAAGAGTCACAGATTTATTCTACTTAAATGTACATGCAATGTACATTTAAGTAGAATAAATCTTAAATGTACATTTAAGTTTGATGTTAAAATTCTTTACTGAGAAATATTTTTGTTTAATTTTAGACTTGGAGTTCACATTTTGAACATTTTTACACTTCCATTTAGGTCTCAACTGCTTCCAAAAAGTTCAAGCGCTTAAAAAAAGCGCTTCTTTTGGTAATGTTAATGTTTGTTTTGTGCCTATAAAACAAGCAGTTTCAAAAACCTTCCAAATATTAAGTCGGAATCTGCAGGCTGTGCCTGTTTCCTAGCAACCCTAGTCGAGCACAGTCCTGTTACCTAGCAACCCAAGCAGAACTCCAGCACGTTCGGTGAGCTGGTTTTGCTGCTACATAATGAGAAAAGACGAGTGTTTTGTTGTTGGCTCACCGTCCAGAAACTAGTTGCTGCATTCTTATTCCGCAGGACGCTCTTCTTCTTCTTCTTCTTCTTCTTCTCTTCTTCTGCTTTTGCGTCTTACTCGTGTTCTAAAAAGATATACTTCAGGAAATGGGAGTTTATGAGTAGCAGTTTTTTAATTTAAAGTCCCCCAAAACGGCTCGTTCTGAAAGGAGTTTGAAACGAGCAGAATTAAGCAAAGTGAAATTTCATTATCTGAGAATGGCAAAATATGTAATACACGTTTTGTATAGACCATAAACCAATCCTAATCTGTTCAAGGAAGCATAAGTCACCTTGAAATTATCTCTGATGTAAAAACAAGTAAATGTAAAAAATGTACCTTGTTTAACGCAAGACATTAAACTGCATTTTAACTGGTTATTAAAATAATCAATATTTTGATATAATCAATACTAAAAAAAATAATTACTCAGACTCTCATTTGTGTCAAAACTGACCCATTAGCATTAGCCCAAAATGTAAGAACAAACATTTGGCCTCAACTTGTGAATAAGGGGGCTCCACAATTACATTTTAGACTCATCTGTCCAAAGAATATCGTTTCAAAAATCATCATTTTTGTCCACAATATCTCTCAGACAAACTTTATTCTGGATTTTTGTTTATTCTAAATAGCAAATTTTACTTCTTTATACATTCCAATGAAAGTTAAACCTGTGCAGTCTCTTCATAATTGTAGACATTCACAAGAGTTTAGGTCCCATTAAGATATTTTAGGCTTTCTGAAGGCTTCATTTAGCTGCTGCTCTCAGGGTAAAGTTACTTGGATGGCCAAACCTGGGAATCTTGACTATTTCTTAAAAGTCCCTCACTTTTTATTTTCTGTGCAGTGGATTGGCTTCTCTCTAAATTATTTAAGACCTCCTTAAATCCTTTTCCAGACTCATACGTTCCAAGCTATATATATGAGCTTTAGACAAATTTCTATTAGATGTCCAAATATGTAAAGGAAAAACACAATATTTCAGAATGTCTTATTTTTTCCACTTTAAATAGAATCAGGTTGTATTTAAAGCTCTGTTTAACAATACAAAGTGCATCATAAGAGTCTGAGGTTTTGGTCTTCATGCAGCAGATAACTTGCAAGAGCCTGTTGTGGTTTTCTGTTTCCATGTGAGGACAGCGTCAGAAATAAGAGAGACGACCTCCAGTGCGAATCGATCTGCACCCAGGAGAACCTGGACAGCTAAAGGTCTCGTAGGTTTTGGCCAAAAGATGAGTCTTAAAGGTCCACAATGTGTCGCAGAAATGTCTTTCAGCAGCACAAACTCTCTGTCGTTGTTTTCCGTATGACTTTATTGGCCTCTCACATCGCTGTGGAGGAGCTTTAGTCCACTGTTGTTGTGATGTTGTTTTTGTTCATTGTGGTTTGAGGGTATTTGTTTCGACACAAAATCAAGATGAGGTGTGAACTTTGACTGGACCAATGCAACACATGGATTATTTTCTTTCTCAGGTATTCTGTTGTAGATTTA